TATAGAAAATATTTTAATTAATATATAAGTTAATATTTGTAAAATAAAAATTATTACTTGCTTTCATGTTATTTTTATTTTTCATTTATTTTTAATGAAAAAAAGAGAAAGAATATATTAATAAATAAAAAAAATTAATTAATATATATATATATTTATATAATATTTATATATTTATATATTTATATATTTATAGAACATTTTTATTTACTATATTATAATAAAATTTTAATAAATTATATAATTTTTTATAATTTTTATTAATACCAATTTATATTACTATATAGAAAAAACATTTTTTTTTTGTCTAAAATATTTATTTTTTTAATTTAAAAGTTCTATTTCTAAAAAAATAAAATATTTAAATTATATAATCTATTTTTCTTTTATTAATTTAATTAGAAAAACATATTTAAAAATAATATTTTATATAATATTAAACTTTTTAAATATAATTTTTATATTTATTTTTTTATTTTAAAATAAAAATAAAAATTTAACAATTTCAAATTATTAATTTGATTTTTTATACTTTAAATTAAAACAAATTATTTATATAAGCATTATTTTTTAATTTATAAAATTTTAATTTTTTTTATAAAAAGTTAACAATATATTATTATTTTTTTAAATTTTGATTTTTAAAATAAAACTTTTTTGTCTTACATTATCTATATACTTCTTTTTTATTTTTAAAGCATTAAATTTTAATTAATTCTTTATGTATCTGAAATATACTCGATAGGGTTCAATAAAGGTATATAGGGAGAATTATAATATTATTTATTAATTAACAAAACTTTTAAATATTTAGTCTATGTATAATTTTTTATTTTTAATATAGATATATAGTATTTGTGAAATTTTATATTAATTATATTAAAAATCAACAGAAATATTAATCTTTTTTTGAATTATCGAAAATCTGAAAGCCATAAACTTAATTTTTGTTATGACTATCAAAAATTCAATTTTTTAAACATTTCGGCTTTGCATTAAAAAGCAAAAAAATTATTTATTTTTTTCTAAAAGATTTTTATTAATGCTAATTTAATCTATTTATATTAAGTAAAAGTTTTTTTCCTAATTATCAGTAGTGTGTATTGAAAAGATTTATCACATTAAAAAATAAATATATTGTTTAATATTTTCTTTAATATAAAACTTTAGCAGGTTTTTATAAGAATAATTAATAAATATAAATTGCCTTCAATAATAGGAATCAATTAAAACTAGTATTTATTAAATCCTATATTATTTGTAAATCATATTTCCTTTATTATTATCAGTAATTTCTTTTTTAAAAATAAATATTATATTTATTCAGGTAAAGTTAAATAATATCTCAAAATTAAATATTCATTTTCAAAAATAATTTTACATACTAAACAATTAAAAAATTAATTATTAAGTAATCATAATTTTTCTTTATTCGGTATTAAAAAATATTTTTATTATTTAAAATAGAAATATATATATATGTTACTATCTTAGCGAAATTAAGTGAATACTTACACTCCTATTAGATAATGCACAACTGCATATATGGGTTCATAACCCTAAACATAATATAATTTTATATTCAAAATAAAATTAAAAATTAAAAAGTTTTAAATTTAAAAAAATATTTTTTTTTAAATTAAAATAGTATTTATTTTTAAAATTAAAACAAATAAATAAATCATTTATTTAATGAAAAAAATTTATTATAATTTTTATATTTAATATATTAATTATCTTATATATATATAACATAATTTGTTTAAATAAAATTTTATTTGACAAAAAATTAAAACATTCTTAAAAAAAGTTATTTCATAAAAATTTTTATAGAATAATAAAAATCAAAAATTTATTTGTATATTTATTTATTATATTAAAAAACGAAAAATAAAAATCTAAATAAAAATACTAAAATATATTATGAAGATGTGTTTAGAATAAAAAAAAATAAAGATTTATTTAAATTGTATGAAATAATATATGTTTTTTTTAATTTATAAATAGTTTATATTTTATAAAATTAAAAAAAAAAAATTAATTAATATTAAATTCTTAATTTTTTTATATATATGTGTTTATATATAAATATAAATATATATATATATATATATTTATATATCACAATATATATATAAATATATTTTGAACAATATAAATTCATTTATTTTTTATCAAATTTTAAATTCTATTTATTAATAATTATACATTTAAACAGTTTTTTATATTTTTATTTTATTAATTTTTTTTTTCATTAATTTTTATTTAATACCATTTTAAAATAAATTGGATAATTTTTCTTTTTTTTTCGCTATTAAAAATTAATATCACAAAATTTAAAATACTTTAATAATATAATATTTTTAATTTTTTTTTTTTTTTATAGTTTATAACTTAATTTTATTTTATTTTTATAATAGTTTTTTATCGAAATAGAGAATATATATCCTAATTAAATTTATTCTTTATTATTTATTTTTTTATTTTATAAATAAACCTAAATTATTATCATAGAGTATTTCGTACAATAGTTTATTTTTTTTGGGGATTCATTAAAATTAAAATAAATTATATTTTTAAAGTTTATTATTGTAATTTAATATTTTAAAAATATAAGTAAGACAACAAAGATTTTAATATTAAAAAATAATATATATAAATATTCAGCTTTATTATTATTTAATTTTGTTATTAAATATAAATTTTATTAACAATATTTATAGTATATTAAATATGATTATAAGAAATTGTTATAAACTACTTTTGTATATTATTTTACATTTTTATAATTATAATATTTATAATATACATAAGAAATATTTTTATATATATATATGAGCTTTTTAATTATTTTATTCATTAAATGCTTGTTTTTATAAGAAAATTTATATAAAATATATCGGCTTAATCCTGCATGTTTATTGTAAAAAAAAAATGGATAATAATATTATAAATATCTTTATTTTTTAAAATAATAATATAGAGAATCTATTTAAAAATAATTATAATAGACATATAATATTATTTTAGAAATTTTTTTTTATATTTTTTAGAAAATTATTATTTTTAAAAAAATTAATAATTCAAATTGTCAATAGTCTTAAATATTAAACACTCGATAAGATAAATAAAAAATTTCGAACTAATATAATTATTGGATTATTTATTTTATCCATATTATCTCTACAAATAGGAGAGTATATTATATAATTAATATTTATTAATAATTATTAAATTATTTAGCTAATTTCTATACATTAATTTAAATCTAAAAATTATTTTACTTTTTATTATTATAAATAATATAATAATTATATAATTAATTTAAAAATATAATTCTTTTAATATATTTCTTTTTCCTTATAAAATTAATCATTTTTGTCAATATAAAAAATACAATTTAAATTTTTAATAAAAAAATTATTAGTATAAAAATATTTTTATTATAAGTAAATTATATTAAAAAAATTATCATTTTCAAAAAAAAAACTAACAAAACTATTTATAAATAAAAAAATTTTACATTCATTGAAATAATTTCTAAACTGCAACATAAAATTTTAAATCCTAATCTCCATTTCCTTAACAATAATCTAATTCATTAATAAGTCCATTATTTAAATTATAAATCCATGCATGTATATTAACTTCTTGTCCTCTTCCCCATGCATCTTATATAATAGTAGAATTACTTAAATTATACATTTACGCAAGAATATTTAATTCACACATTTTAGCACTTTTATCTTCAAAGTCTAATTAATCTAACTTTTCTTTATATCTTAAATATACATCTCTAATATGATGAAGCCAATTATTAATAAGACCTAATTTAGTATTATTAATAGCAGCATTTACACCACCACATTTATAATGCCCACAAATAATAATATCAGTAACTTTAAGTACTTCAACAGCAAATTAAACAACAGAAAGACAATTTAAATCTGTATGAATTACTTGATTAGCAACATTTCTATGTACAAAAAGCTCACCGGGCCCAAGACCGGTTAATCTTTCAGCTGGTACACGACTATCTGAGCATCCAATCCATAAAAACTAAGGGGTTTATGCAAGTGATAGTTAAGAAAAAAATAATGGCTCTGTTTTTATTATTTTAGCTGCCCAATTTTAATTATATTCAAGAATATTTTAAGCTGTAGTTTTTTTAGTTTCTTATTATTCTAATTAAAATTTATCAGAAAATTTTTTCAAACACGTGTTTATTTCGAGAGGAATTTCATTTTTTTCACAAATTATTAATTTTTACATTAATTCTCTATAATTTTCATCGTATTTTAAACATTATTAATTTTCTAATTATTAAGAACTATCATATAATTAGTTTTAGATATCTTAATTAGATAATAATTAGGTTATTTCTTACTTTTTTTCGATTTCTTTTTGTTAAGATAACATTATTGTATTTTTTATATATTTATAAATAGCAATTTTAATTTATTATTTTAAATTTTAATTTTATTACAAATTCTTATTTTAAACTAAAAATTAAATTTATTTTAAAATAATTTTATCAAGATAATTAATCTATTTTTTTTTTGTACAAGAATATTATATTGCTATTATGATTATAATATAAATTTATTAAAATAATAATTATAATGAGATAAAAAATAATAATATAGAATTATAAATATAATATATAAGAATATTTTTTAATTAAAAAAAATAACGTATAATAATAAAATAAAATAAAAAAAAATATAAAATATATATAAAAAAAAAATATATATTAAAAGAAATTTTGTTATTAATAATAAAATAAAAATATTATAAAAAATTTATTAATATAATTATTTAAAACATTATTTTTTAAATAAATAAAATATTTATAAATGAATTTTTTAATATTATATTTATTATAAAAAAAAAAAAAATATAAAAAAAAAAAATTTAAATAAAAAAAAATTAATTATTAAAAAAAATGTTTTTTAAAATTAAAAAAATTAAAGATTATAAATTAAAAATATATAAAAAAGTAAAAAAAATATTATATATTATTATAAATATTTGTAAAAAATAAATAAATAAATAAATAAATAAATAAATAAATAAATAAATAAATAAATAAATAAATAAATAAATAAATAAATAAATAAATTTTTATCATTTTTTATTCAATATTTTTTAAATTGACAAATCATGTCTTTTTTCTTAATCTCCTCCCTCGCATACACTATCTAATTATTTTATAAGTCCGTCTTTCAAATCATAAATCCATGCCTAAATATTTACTTTCTGCCCTCTTTCCCATGCATCTTATAAAATAGTAGAATTGCTCAAATTATACATTTATGTAAGAATATTTAATTCACACATTCTATCACTTTTATCTTCAAATTTTTCTATTTAGTCCAACTAATTTTTATATCTTAAATATACATCTCTAATATGATGAAGCCAATTATTTATAAGACCTAATTTGGTGTTATTTAAAGCTGCATTTACTCCACCACATTTATAATGTCCGCAAATAATAATATCTGTAACCTTTAATACTTCAACAGCAAATTAAACTACAGAAAGACAATTCAAATCTGTATGAATTACTTAATTAGCAACATTTCTATGTACAAAAAGTTCACCTGGCCCTAGTCCAGTTAATCTTTCAGCTGGTACACGACTATCTGCACATCCAATCCATAAAAACTAAGGATTTTAAGCAATCGAAAGTTAAGAGAAGAATTAAGGCTCTGTTTTTTTAATTTTATCTGCCCATTATTTATTATATTCAATTATATCAGATGCACTTGTTATTTTTTTATCATTCTATTTTTATTCAGGAAAATTAGACGTATAACTTCATTTTTATCTGTTTTCTTGTGTTTATTCATTTATACTTAATTATTTCATAAGATCTTTGTAGTTTTAATCATAAGTTAAACTTGTTTCTTTAATTTATTAAATATCATTATTATTTTCTTCATTTTATTATTATTTTTAGATTTATTCTAAGTTAAAATACTCTGTTTAGTGTTAGTTTTATTAATTTTTTTAAATTTACTAATCCATTTTTTTATTAATAATTTTTTTTTTATTAAAAAAAATATTATTTGCTTTATTTATTTATTTTTATATTTAATATTAAATCAATGAAAAGCCTTATTTTTTGCATTAATAAAATAGAAATTACTAAATTTTAAAATTTTATTTTTAATTCTTATTTTATTAGATTAAATATTTTAAATGCGTTTTATTTAGAAAAATAGAAAATTATGAATTTTATATGTATTATATATATTTAAGTTATTTTAATTTAAAATAAAAATTAATTACATTTTTTATTTAAATATAAATTAATTTTCTAAATAAAAATAATTTATATTTTTTACAGATTTATTTTATTTAATATTAGATAATTTATTAAAAATATTTGATAAAAACGATTTTTCATATAAACTTTAAAATAAATTATTTGATAAAAAATATATATAATTCTATATTTATTTAATTATAAATTATAAAGTCGATATTATAAAAAATTAAATAATCTAATTAATAACAAAATTAATTTGTATATATAATTATAGAAAAGAAAATTTGTTATTAAAAAATAAAATATTTGCAATTATTAAAAATAAATAAATTGTACTTTAATTTATTAAAAGTTAGATTAAATAAATAAGATATAAAATTAAATTATTAAATAAAAAATTTTAAAAGTATAAAAAAATATTATAAAAATAATAGTTATTAAAATACAAGTAAAAAATATAATTATTTTATTATTTTTAAACTTTTTAAGCTAAAGTAAACAAACATTTTCTTATTTTAATTAAAAATAATTTAAATTAATAATCGTTTTTTACAAGTCAGTTATTCATAATTAAAAAATTAAAAAAAACAAATAATTTACAAATACATATTTGATTTGAAAATAAAAATAATATTAAAAATTATTATTGAATTAAATATATTTATAGTATTTATGTATAAATATATAAATTTAATTGAAAAAAATGATAAAAATATAAACTAATATAATTATTTTAAATTCAATAAAAACATTAAAAAATAAAACATAACTAAATAAATAGATTTAAAATAAATACAAAAATAAAAATAATGAAATCAAAAAACTTCCATAATCACAAAAAAATAGAAATTAAAATAAATACAAATACATCATTTAGTGAGTAATCTCGTAGTTTTTTAACCCCTCGTTTAAACCCTCGAAGTGTCTAATTCAACACTCCAATAAATTCCCGCAAGCACTAATTAGAAAAAAAGATAAATGATCAACTAACTTCATCAACATCTTTATAGAAAAGAGTGGAATTAAAAAATGAATTTTTAGGTGTTTCATGCATGTTAGCAGCCGGATTTGCACGAAAATACAATTCTCCTCATAAAAGAATAGAAGAATAAGATAATTAAAAAGAAACAAATAATTTATAAAATACAATAAATAGATTAAATAAAGAACTATTAATAATAAAAAAGTAGCCTTTAAAAAATCAAACTGAAAAAATCTAAATATAGAAATTAAAAGAAGAAAACATTCAATTAAAGCACAAATGTGAGTATTTGGAGTAAATATTAAATTAGAAGCAGGAAGAATTATTAAAAGTTTCATTAAATTCGTCTTTGAAATAAACTTAATTGTAAAATTAATTAGAGTCATTAAAAAAAATGTATTAAAATTATCAATTACAAAATTAAGCAAAATTACATAATTTTGAATGCTAATTTGAACAATATTAATAAATTATATACTAATATGAAGAAAAATAAATCATTTTAAATAATTAAATTTAAAAATTTACATAAATATAAGAAGAAAATTAATACCTGAAAAATGTTATTTTTAATTATGAATTATAAGAAAATGATTTTGTTAAAAATAATACATCTTTTATAGATGAAGATAAATATCTTTTAGATGTTTAGGAAAAAATTAAAGAACTCTAAAATTTTAGAGATTCTGAGTAATAATAAGAAAAAAAAGAAATGCTTTTTTGCTATTTGTAAATTTAAAATTTATAAAATAAAATAAATGAATTATCAAATATCAAATAAGTTAAAAGAAATTCCTCTATTTTAATGGCTTAAAAAGACAATGATTTTGTAGATTTTTAAGAAAGTATTAAAATTTTAAAGAAAGAAAATGAAAGTTTAATAGAATAAAATCAAAATTAAAAAAAAGAAATTGAAGAAAACATAAAATTTTAAAATAAAAATATAAAAGATTTGGAAAAAATCATTCAAACTTTAAATTCGAAAATAAATGAAATTTCGTAAATTTCTTAATAAAGATTAAATGTTATTAATTAATTGTATTTTTAAAAATAAAATTAAATAAAAAAATTATGATATATTTATATATAGATAAAACGAAATAAAGAATATATAATAATTTTAATAAAACGACAAAAGCTAATCCGAGGATATATAACAAAAAAAAATTGTTAAATTTTTCATAATAATAGTTAATTATAAGTAGAAAATATTAATTATGAAAATAAAATAGAAGATTTATAAAAATAAATTATTAAATTAAATATGGATAATTATGAAATGGAAAATTCTCTTAATAAATAATAAGAAATTGATAAGGAAAAGTATATTTAATTTTATTTTTAAATATATTGAATATTAATATAAAAAATAAATAAAAAAAGATAATAAGATATAGAAAATTTAAAATAAAAACATGAAGAGATTGAATAATAAATTCAAAAATATCATTAGTTATAAAAAGATGTAATTTTATATATAGATAAAATTTTAAGCAAAGAAATTAAATAAAAATATAGTTTGATTAATTAAAAAATAATTATTAAGTCTTTAATTTAATAATGAATAAATAATCATTTAAAACAGATTGTTAATTAGTTTTAAGAATAAATATTTTTAACAAATATTTTATTCATATTGAAACTCTAAAGGAAATAAATATTTTAGTAGCAATAGATATATTGGAATTGAATCCTTGTAAAAATACGGAACGGCCTTCATTTTAAATAACTTATAAAGTAAATAAATATATATATATATATATTTAAATAAGTTATATTTATTACTACTTATTAACATTGTTTTTCATATTTTCTATGTTAGTTTTATTTTAAAAACACAATCGAAAAAAAATAAGGTTATAAAAAATAGATTATTATCTTATTTTATTAAGATTGAGTTTTTTTATTAAAAAAAATAATATATATATATATTTATACATATTTATTTTTGTATTATAAATATTTTTATTGTTTATTATAATTTTTTTTATAAAAACTTAACAAAAAAACAATTGCGAAAAAAATTAGATTGTATTTTTTTTATTGTTTTTACTGATTAAGTTTTGAAAAAAATTATAGAAAAGATAAAAAAAAAATATTAACAATAATATATTATTTAATAAATATAAAGTAATCAAATATAAAAGTTATTTCTATTTTTGAAACAAATAGTAAATAAGAATTAAAACATGTATTAAAAATATTTAAGTAATTTTTTTAAAAAAACAAATAAATATAATGCATTTAATTTAATTTATTTTTAAAAGAAATTATCTTACAAATGCATAAAATATCTAATGTTAGTAAAATTCTTCAAATTCAAACTTATCTTTAAAAAATGGTTAAGAATGAGATATAAATAATTTTATTTTTAAATTATATATATAACTAAAAAATTTAATGTATATGCAATTAATAAAAATATTTGTATTATTAATAAAATATTATTATTTTAATTATATTTTTTTAAAAAAAACATTTAATAAAAATAATGTATAAAGTAATTTTATATCCATAATTAAATATATATAATAAATATTAAATATATATAATAAATAAAAAATTAATAAAATATAAGAATTTTTTATAAATTACTAAATTATTATTTAAATTATAATTGAAAATAAAAATATAAGTAAAAAATATATAGTGTTTACCTTTCATATATTCTCAAAGTCTTCCGAAATCATATTCTAACCAATAAATTTCGTAATTCATTTAAAAGCAAATCTCCAAAATTTCTCTAAAAAATCAAAAAAATATAATAAAGAGAATGAATTAAATTTTTTAAAAAAATGTTAATAATAATTTCAAAAGTACAAATACCTCATAAACATATAATAGATAACGACAACAAGCACTATTTAGCAATATAAATTTTAAAAAAACGCTAGAACTAGTATATATGTAATTTAATATGGTAATAATTAAATTATTAAATAAAATAGGAAATTTATAAATGCGAGAAAATGCATAAATATATATTTAATCATATAGAAAACATTAGGAATTATCTTGTAAATACAACATAATTAAATTTTTAAGTATATATGCTTAAGAATAATAAATATAGATTTATTTTTTTCGATATAACTCCAATTACATATTTCTCTTTAAAAATCTAAAGAGTAATTTAATGAATTTTTGGAGTTATTTAAATTATATATATATAATTATTTTTCAAATTAAATATCTATTAAATTATTGAGAAATAATTTTTTTTAGGTATAAATAAATATTATAGTAAAATAAAAAAAATATTCCTTTAAAAAAACTATAAATAAATATTTTTAGTATGTAATTTCTTCCTCTATTATTAAATAAATAATATGATAATTAAAAATAACAATTCCTAAAGCCTTAAAAACAATTTTCTTTTTTTAATATATTCAATAATTAGATTTTAGAGCCTACAATACAAATAAAAGAAAAATATATTAAGCTTTTTAATAATTTGCAGTAATTTAATAAGATATTAGAATAATATTCATGAGAAATAGAAGATAAACTAAAATATGTCATTTAATAATAATAAGTTAATTTAAACG